ATGAATGATTTATCAATAAATTACTTAAATGGTAAGTTCATTATGAATGAGGTGTATTAATAGATTTAAACACCAGTAAATGAAGGTTACAATATAAAAGGTCAAAGAGTAAGTATAGATATTGAAATACGCTAAAGTGTGATTAACTTTTTTTTTATTTTTTCTTTGCTTATACCATGTTGTACAGATAATGCCAGAATATACATGTACGCACTCCTTCTTTCTATCCTTTTTCTCCGACTTCGGTTTAGAGTTCATAAGGTAAAAAGATAAGCGTGATACAAGTTGCTAAATATGAAAGTGACGTTGCATATGAAGATGTTGTGGAAGATAATGATGCAATAAATGGAAACGAAACATCTTGCCAAAAAACAAGAAATCAAAAAATATTGAATTGACGAAGCGAATTTTTATAACGTTGATAAAACGAAAACACCAATTGGAAATGAGTGATCTCAAAACATTATACGAACTACAGAGAAGATAGGAGAATAGTTTATTGCAGATGTCTCGAAGCCAAGCGTTGTGAATAGAAATATACGGGTTTGGGAGCGAGACCACTAGAAAAGAAGTTGCCAGAACTATGACCGGTACCAAAAGAACTTGGTCCACATATATCTAGTTGTGGCTTTTAATGTAGAGCAAATATTTATTTGCTATATCATGTGAATGATAAAAAAAGTTATTGTTTATAAAGCCGAAACTGAGCACAATGATCATAAAAGTGGATGAGTGTGAGATGGAGTTGAGTGGGAATAAAATGAAAATTCATTCGAACTCGCATCCATACCCTATTTTATACGAATAAAAAATTCTTCTCATAAAATCGATATTTTTCATTGGTATACAATATATTATTTTACTTGTAATTATATATATTAAACTGATCATTTAATCTTTATATTAATCATTTTTATATTTTTTTTTATTGATCAATTAAATCATAGTCGTAAACTTACTTGAGATTCGGATTTTGAACATGCACTTTCCATTATTTCAATTAGACGAGTTTCACTAAAAATTAAATTTTTCATTTATTTAATCGATTAAGAATTTATAGAATTGATTAAAAATAACGTAAGAACTGTTGTTCATATTATTCTATCTTTTATTGAAGAACAAATTCTACTAAACTTTTCAAAATTTAATCCTGTCTGATCATTCATAACATTTGCGCGTCTCTATTGCTAAGCATATCGTTAGTGCAAGAAGCTTTACACTGGACTGTATAGACAGTTTCATCATCACACTCATAATCCTTAGTTCAATAATGTAAGTTAACTGATCGATTCGTCAATAGACACTTTCAACGATGAATGGCTATCTTTAGGTACTCGTAATGAAGGTTCTGACGGTTTGAAAGAAATATTAAAATAATCGCCCTGAAAAATCAGAAAACGAACTTCAAGAAAATTCATGTACTATTAATAGTCTTTCTTTCGGTATATCTTTATATGTCTAAGTAGAATCTCATTCTCTGATATAAAGTATCCTATATCATCTGCTTTATGTTTTTTGATGCAACAAAACATGTCAAATCTTTCAAGTAATAGATTATTTTCATGTAATCTACATGATTGTTGTTGAGTTCATTAGTTTGTATCTCGATAAATAAAATTTCTATTGAGAAAAGATTGATGTTCAACTTATTTATATGAGAAACGAATGAAATGTTTATTTAAAAATATTTTACAAAAAAACAAAATATTACATGAGATGTTTCATTTAGGAGATTTAATACACTTAATGACCCAGAAATAGAAATAACTAAATATCGGAACCTTCAAAAAAGTCGTGAAATAGTGAAGAGCTTAGGAAGGTCATTTGTTTGAAGAGCTTTGTTTAAATAAACATTTTATTTGAGTTCTTCTTGTCTATATACAATGAACTAAACTTGGTTAATATTAGAATTGATTTATCGCATCAATACAGCCGAATTTTTTTCTTAATCCTATTCAATTTTTCGATGATCATCGAGTAATACAATACCGAAAGCTAACAGATAAAAGGAAATTATTTAACAATGTTCATTAAATTTTTGAATATTTCGTAACCGTGATAAATCCTTTTAAGTCATAAGATTTATTCTGATGAAATAACATCAGAATTACGTTTGTGCTATTGTCAGAATTCCTTAATAATTTATATGAATATTCATATCGTTATATTCTTCAATAGCTTATTATTAACTAACAAAAATGAAATATCTAGAGTTGGCCGCAATCAAAAGAAAATTCTGAATTTATCGATGAAGTTATTTTCAAAAGAAATCTCAAAAAACAATTATCATTTAATAATTACCTTTTTGCATATCCTTTCAATTTTTTCTCTTCCCAATCTGTATTACCTCTAAACAAGAAACCGAACAAATATTATGAATAAATATTTCTTAACTTAGAAAATTCTTACCCTCCAAAATTACTTTTAGCTGTTCTTTTATAACTCTATAAATTTATGAAGAAAAATTGTTTTTCTTTTTCTTATAATATCAAATATTCGAAACCATACCTCAACAAATTTATCACTTATTGTTTTACATGTAACACATGGATCAACATCAAATAAATTGCCTGGCATCATCATAGTTGAGCATGATGAACAAAATATAATAACAAGAATACATAAGAAAAATACTAATCGATTTTGTATATTAATAACCATTGGAAGCAATGACATGTCTATTTTTTATAAACTTGAGCAAAGCCTTTTTTTTTTATTAGTATATTCTATCTGAAAGAAGAAAGAAAGAAAACAAAAGAAAAATTATTTTTTTGTAAGAACAGAAAACATATTAAAAAGAAATTAATGTCAAAATAAAGAATTCATTTATGTTTTTTTTGTTGTTGACGAATTCGATGATAAACAAATTCAAATTCATTTGAATATGCACTTTCATTACTGGATATTGAACAAACATTTTCTGTCTAAAATAAAACAGATAAGAAAAAAATTAAATTTTTTTCTTGCTTCTTTTTTTTATGGAATATACTTCATCAATTTTTTGTCGTTGTCGTGCAAGAATTTGTTCCAATTTTGTTTGTTCACGCATTCGTTCATCTTCACGTTTCTTTTCTTCATCACGTCGATGTTTAAAAACATTAAGTAATTCAGGTTTTTTTGGTAATAATTGTCCCCTAAAAACAATATCAAGTATTCTTTTTATTAGAATAAAAGAAAAAATAACGAAGAATTTACATTTTTTGTTTATAAATTAATTCTTTATGTAATTCTTTTTTTGAATTAGATTGCTGTTGTGTAAGATGAGGTTTTAGTGGAATTGTTTCATTTGTTATTAAAGACGATGGTGTTGGTAAACGGTAATAATAATGCTCACTTGCATCATCAGATAAATATGTTGGAATATATGGTGGGGAATGATCTGCATATTTCGATGGAGAATTATTATCTGTGTTAGTATGAATTGAATCATAACATATTTGATCATAAACATTTGTTTGACTACTCATCCAACTTTGATGACCTGATGATATTCCTCCATCCGATGAGCCTAAAGTATTAAAAAAAGTCATGTTTGTTTATGATACAGTGTTTTATATATACTTGAATGACTGTGTGTATCTTTTGATGAAACAGATTCACTGGCAAAGGTTTCATCATATGTTGAATAAACATGATCATCGACGTGATTCTATAATAATTGAAGAATACAATAAAATGAGAAAATAATGAAGAAAAATTTCATTTTCAATTCAAGATGTTCATGCGATCAAACATGCGTTTCTTTTTTTTTTGTCATACACTTTAAAGCTTACCTCAAATCGACAGAGCAATAATGCTCTCTAAAAATAAGTTTAAAAATAAGATAGAAAATCTTATATATTTTGTTTTTTTAATTTCTTTTATTTTTAAGAAAATATCTAAATTATAATAATGTTTACCCAACGTCGTAGACGATTAAACGGCATCGATTTTTCAGTGTATCTCAGATATATAATGAGAGTATATACTAATAGAGTTGACCTGTCCGCTTTACTTGAGCCTCTTTTTTTCCCTATGTTCTCGTATTGTACACAATCAATGAGGTTAAAAAGGGAGAAGAAAAAAAAGCTTTACTATTGACATACACAACAATCATCAGTATTGTTGTCATTCATGGATAGATTAATTGATAGTTTTGAACTTACTCGAACGAATTTTTTCACTCGAAACATAGGTAAACGTTTATTATTGTTGTAATTTACATATGCAGACAGACACCACAATAAGGATAAAAAAAAAAAAAGAAAAATTGTCAATCGACTGCAACCTACGATTACGTGATATACAGAAAAAAGTCTCTCGCTCTCTCGTTGCGTTTCTCTTAGGTATTACATCATACATACTTTTCAACCTCTCGTGTGACAATTCACCACGAAAAAAAAAAAAGAAGTTATTTCATAACATCTCTACATCGAGAGTAGGTTGGTTGAACGAACAAGACTTTTAATCCAGTTGCATGCACTCGACTACTTTTATCAGCTTGTATAAAAGGAAGAGAAGCAAAAAATAATAACTATATAGACATTATTGCCACAAAAAAGAAATATTTTCACACGTACATATACATATTGTTGGTCTTGCTCTTAACTACAAGAAAATTATCTTTGATCATATCAATTAAAATAACACTTTCACATAAATATACTGTTTGATTTATGAATTGAAAAAAAGAACACAAAAATAAATATGTTGATAAAAGCTAATGAAAAAAAACAACATTAAACATAGTTGCATAGAATAATGATTCATTTATCCAATGAATATACTTCACTATAATATTTTTTTTCGTATGACGGTTATGCATGATTTGCTTTTTTCTTTTTTTCATGGCCATAAATAATTTGGTTTGTCATTGACGCACATCTATACTTGAAAATAGACAGGTTTACTGAAGTTATTATATCCAACCTTCGCTATTCACTCTCTGTCTTTGTGCGTATATTAAAATTTGTATTTCTCACGTTCACTTGGTGTGATACCACTCAACGATCACAATAAATATGCTTTTTAGCGGAGTATATCGTAGCTCATCAGAAGAGGTTCTTTCCGATGGCGAAACAACATCATCAGTAACATCAGACATTACATCAAGAACTTCAGCGAGCGATACTTGGTATGATGTCAGAAGTGATATTGAACAACAACAACAACCAATAACACAGTTCGATCATACCACAGATGCTAACATAAGATTACAAACAAATGATTATGATGATGATAATGATCAAGAATTAATTAGATCAATCAATGATATGTACATCGACGATGGTACTTTCGCAGAAGTAGAAAGTATGACAAATATTGGAAATGATTTTCATGATATTCCTATTCAAGATAACCAGCAACAACAAACACCAAACGAATGGATAAATCCATATTGGGGTGTTAATTGGTTACCGGCAACAACACTAACAGGACCAATAATTCAAGGAAATATAGAGAGTTCTAATATTCAACAGTAAGAATATTAAAATTATTGACTTTTTGCTTTTCATTTTCATTTACGATTATGTACCATTTGTTTTTTTTATAGTGCTTCATCGAAACCTGGAATACAACGACTCATACCTGGTTCTATTTTAATTAATGATCGAGACGAAATTGAAGATTCATTATGGAAACAAGGAAATTCAAGTGTTGAATCTTTAACGTCAAGTAATTCATTTCATCCCGGTGGAAAATATATATCAGATGAAAGCGGTGGTCGAGGAGGTTTTCTTGCACCAACACATGTTCAACATCATGCTGTAGTAACATCGTCTGACTTAACCGAATATTCTACAGATAATTTTAGTTATAAAGGATCAAATTCATCGTCTGATGATAGTTTTCGAATTGAGTCTGCATTACATCAAGAACAAACGTCATCAGAACAAGACGGTTATGATGATAAACAATGGAACGATTTATATTGGTTAGCATCTGATCAAGTACATAATAAACATACTACATATACGGCAATGAGTTCTGCTCCTTCTATTCTTTCTAAATTTAAACAGAAGGAGAATTCATTTCTACAAGAGGATCCTGCTTTTCTTTTCCAAAATACCCAATCTGAAACATTACCTAGCTCGAATGAAATATTGTGGACAAATGCTAATTGGGAGACAAACGTTCTTGAAAATCCAGCGTCAACAATAGATGATACACGATCAACAACACCATCGATTGAATCTTGGAGAAATGACGAATATCAAACACCAACATTCGAAAAACAACGAAATAAAATATGGGACAATTCGAGTGGCAAAGATAGTGAACCGGAAGATTTGATGTCTACTGAGCAATCAGATGATTCGCAAGAAATTTTGGATTCGAAACACTATCAATCTCAAGCCATAGCATCCTCAAAGCACCAAGATAAACCATGGGTAAATCCGTATTGGAAAGACTACAAACCTCATGCTGTCACATCTTCGAAACAACAAGGCAAACCATGGGTGAATCCATACTGGGGTGACAATAAAACTTCAGCCGCGACTCAATCAAAGAAACAAGATATACCATGGCAAAATCCCTATTGGAAGAATTGGAAACCAGGACCTTTGACAACATCTCAACTATATCAGAATGTACCTTTGGTAAAACCTAATTGGCAAAATAATGCATCACAAACTTCGACGAAAACTAAACCACAAGCTTTTGAAGTAACTAAACAACAAAATAAACCATGGGTGAATCCATACTGGGGTAGTAATAAAACGCCAGCATCGGTTCCATCAAAGAAACCAAATATACCATGGCAGAATCCCTATTGGAAAGATTGGAAACCAAGATCTTTCAACACATCCCAACTACATCAGAACGTACCTTTGATAAAACCTAACTGGCAAAATAATGCATCACAGACCTCGACAACTACTAAACCACAAACTTTTGAAGTAACCAAGCAACAAAATAAACCATGGGTGAATCCATACTGGGGTAATAATAAAACGCCAGCCTCGATTCCATCAAAGAAACAAGATATACCATGGCAGAATCCCTATTGGAAAAATTGGAAACCGGGATCTTCCAACACATTCCAACTATATCAGAACGTACCTTTGATAAAACCTAACTGGCAAAATAATGCATCACAGACTTCGACAACTACTAAACCTCAAAATTTCGAAGTAACTAAACAACAAAATAAACCATGGGTGAATCCATACTGGGGTAATAACAAAACGCCAGCCTCGATTCCATCAAAGAAACAAGATATACCATGGCAGAATCCCTATTGGAAAGATTGGAAACCAGGATCTTTTAACACATCCCAACTACATCAGAACGTACCTTTGATAAAGCCTAACTGGCAAAATAATGCATCACAGACTTCGACAACTACTAAACCGCAAAATTTCGAAGTAACTAAACAACAAAATAAACCATGGGTGAATCCATACTGGGGTAATAACAAAACGCCAGCCTCGGTTCCATCAAAGAAACAAGATATACCATGGCAGAATCCCTATTGGAAAGATTGGAAACCAGGATCTTTGACAACATCTCAAAAAAATCAGAATGGAAATTTGAAAAATCATAACGGGCACAACAATATATGGCAAACTTCGACGACTACTAAACAACAAAATTTTGGAGAAACTAAGCAAAAAGATAAACCGTGGGAGAATCCCTATTGGAAGAATAAAAATGTATCAAGTGCTGGGCCCACATGGATATCTAATGCATCAAGGAAAGGTACATGTGGTATGGTGTTACCTAATGCATATATAACAGACAATGTATCACCTCCTGATCATAGAGTTCCACCAATTCCATCATTTTATAAACGCATCTTTCCTGTTAATACACCACTATCTTCAATTCAACCGTCAACAACGACTAACGAGAAAAAATTACAATTTTCTAAAGAATCTATGCATGTCACACCATTCAGTATTCCAAATGAAACATACAACAATGACATAAACGGTGGTAATGATTTTTTACCATATACAATCGATACTCAAGGAATAGCACACTATCGTTCATTACCATCATCATCTTCTATTGCCAAAAATAAAACAGTCCACTTCGGTACTTCTCCATCAACTACTCAAAATCCAGTCACATCTAAATATATAACTGATGCTGTTCCATTACAACGAAAATATACCACGACGCCAACATCATTTACATCTAATGTTACATCACAACTTCCAATAGCTAACACAGCTCCTTCTTCATCTACAACTAACTCAGATCTATTGCAATCTTTGGGTTTTCTAAATTCTTCATCATATTCACCAAACAATGATCCATCATCTACTAAGTCTGGAGCAGTTGTAATCACTCTAGACGAACTGTATGATATTCAAAATGCTCTTCATTTATTGAAGACCAATCCAAATGCTATACCTACTATACAAACATTTCAACAACATGTACCAACAGTTTATCCTAGTGATGAAAAAGTACCTCATCAACCAATTACGTCTCTATTTACAAATAACAACGATCATCGCTTGATTCAACAGCCACCAACATCATCATCATCATCCGACCATCAAAATGATCAATTACGTTCTCTGTCTAATGCCAAATCTCAACAATTACCAATGGTGTCTTCATCAAAGAATTTTTCAAATCCAAACGACATTTTAAACAGATTTATTAAACCAGGATCTATCAACCATTTGTAATAAAGAAATTATTTTTTATTCGGGAGTCTTTTCATTTATTGTTGTCTTTTTAATATTTTAATAAAAGATCAACAATAAAAATTTACTAAGATTTTTTTTCATTTAAAACAATATCCTTTCTAGCAGGTTCTTAAAGAAGTACGACGAATAAATATTTGTGTATTCAATATGAAATTTATCTACTCAGATAGAAAGTCTCTAAAAGAAAAAGAAAAGAAACTTTGAAACAACCTCACCTGTACAAATGTTATTGTTCACAATAGACTTGTGTGAGAACGCGACAGAAAAAATAATCGATATAAATAAGAACAAACTAGTAGTTCTTTTGAACATCAGTTGACTATTTAATGAGCAATAATATTCGTACACGTATATTACGGATAGTAATTCAAACAACCAACCAAGTTGCTTTAAATTTTTATTTGACAACTAGTGAAACGAATCGTTGGATGACTTCTCATTTTCTTTAAGGTGTAGGTATGGAGTATGGAGACACAAACCATACATAAAGATAGATGCCGTACTCGCTCGAATATTGATTCAAATATGATTTACACATTGAAAAGTTAAGTTCAGATTAGAAGCGTACTTGAGCACTGACTACTAAGATGGAGCATTGTGTAGGTTAATTTTAGAAGCAGGAAGGAAAGTGTCACACCCTTGGTTCAGGTGTTTGACAAATTTTCATAAATCTTAAAACAATAAATTCTGACAAATCACTTGTATTGTATTGAAAATATATTTAAAATAATCGAAAAAGATCAATTTCAGTTTGCCTATAGATAACGAATATGTTTACAGATGTTCCTGTGATAATAGATTTCATCCTTCTCGAATCAATCATTGAGAATATTCAAACTAACTAAACAAACTAAAATGATCATGATTTCTTCTTCTGACTAACATCAAGGGTATTGTGAACATTGAAATACGAATTTTATTGAAAAAATCCAATTTATAAATATAAAGTTTATTTTAAAAATTGATATTGATGATGAAATGAACTCAAATTTCGTTTTTTACGTTTTTTAAATTTCTTTTAATGTCGTTGAAAAAAATTCAGTTAAATTTTAAATATACAATGTTTACATAAGTATAATATCTAATATCATTATTCCATGAATTTAATATTGATTAATGTAAATGTAACTCAATTCATAGACAAACAAAGTGAACTCATATTATGTCCTATGAAAATGTTAATTTTGTGATTTCTTTATCTAATATGTAATTTAATAACAGTTTGCTTATTGCTTTTTTTTTTTCTTCTTTTTTGTAGTTTCATATTATGTAAGACACCATGACAATAGTAAACGTGTTAATAAACCTTTTCTTTCATGTTATTATAAGTAAAAAAAAAATGAACTAGATGAAATTTTATCTTTCCATCACACACCTTTGGTTATTTGATCTTATTAAATAAACACAAGATATTAAATCATCTTAATATAAAACTTTTTGGAATAGAAATTATCATGTCAATTTAAACATTTTAATTCATTTCTAGAATTAATCAAAGTCTATGGTACAAGATATTTTATTCAATTCTAGTTAACCTTTGAATTTAAAGTATACTTCATAAACTGTGAGTACGGTAGCTATTGTTCATGCACGTGAAGGCCTTTTTACATTCTAGAAGAAATGCATGTCTTGTTTCTCTTTGCTTATTCGTCAGTAAAGTACGGTTGAAATAAACGTCACATTGTTCTACATCGTTTATTATGCATCTATAAATACTAGCAAATAAAGCTGACTGACTTTAAGTAAGTTTTGTTATTGATCATTTGTCAAACTAGCAACGCTTGTCTATTTCAAAACCATATTCAATATATTTGAAGACGTAATACTCTATTAACGATTCAATCAATCAATATTTGATATTCAGACAAATATCAGTTATAATAAATAAAATTTAAAAAAAAATCTCAATAAAAAAAGACTTTAAATAATGGACGATCATCTAAATTGTTGTTCGGCATATTTCTATGCAAGATTTACCAACGATGATACATTGATAGGTAAGTAGGTAAAATGTTTTTTTTTTGTGAAGATTGGTCATGATAATCGCTTGAGAATTGGTCTTCGAGTTAGTTTGAACTTTATATTGTAATGGATATTCTTTATTTTTGAAAAGAAATATGTTTTAAAATCAAGTTTTCTTTAAAGAACATTATAATGATAAATGAACATTAGAGTTCATTGCCATTTCCTTCCCGATATAATTTATCCTTAGCGCTTTTCTTTGTGTCTACAAAATAAAGACTGTATTCGTTGTGATATAGATTCAGTTGAAATAATAAACCCCCTCCCATATTAGAAGCTCCCCGGGGCTTCTATTAGGCCTTGCAAACTTTGGCCGGATTTTGCTGGGAAAAATTGAAAATTTTGCTGGATAAATCCTTTAAAGGGGGCTTCTAATATGGGAGAGGCTTCTATTACGGGGAGGGGTTAACAATAGTTCAATAAAGACTATATTGTTGAAGATGATGATGACGATATTAATCTTCTAGTTTATCACAAAAATACCATTTCGACAGAAGATTTTTTTAAAAACTATTTGCAAGATGAATTAAAACGTTAGCTAGTGTCCTGATTTCTAAATAACTGATATTCATAAGTAAAGAATGATTTGATTCAAGTCTCCGAATAGGATGAAGTTCTCGTTTCATAAGTTCTTTTTTCTCATGGACGAATACAGGCTTTGCCTGATAAAATAGAGATTCTTGGGACTTTGTCGGTACAATGAGTAATAGGACTTATTTTGCACTGATCGTTAACCTCTTCCATTAATAGAATTTTTTTTTCTTTTTTTTGCCATTTTTATTAGTCTAAGAGCGTTTTTTTTTCTTTTTATATAAAAGTTTAAACAAGTTAAAATAACATTAATCTTGCAAAGTGTTGTTTGTATTTCACAGTCATTTAAAATTTTGAACAAACTTTCACTATAACAGTTGGTTATTTGAATAAAATCTCATGGTCAAAATGAATACTTACTATCTTTACTTCATATTTATTTTTAGCATAATTTGTTATAAGTGTTATTTAAAGAATAGCAAGAGTTATACACCACATTGTACCAGAGTATGAAAGAATCATCAGTAGTTTTTATCAATATGAAAAAAACTAAGTAAACTCATCAGAAGTTGACAATTCATGAATGAAAAGTACACTAGAAAAGTAGTATTATTTCTTCTGAATACTTAAAAAATGCCATTGAAATCTTTTAAGAGAAATAATGAGTCTTGAATCCTGGTGTAGTTCAGTAGATTCAAACGGATCTCAATGAATTTCGATAAATTCCCCATCATATTCGTTAAAATTCAACAAGATCGTAATATCCCTATATTATATGATACAACATTAGATCCACTATTCTTTCTTTGAAAAAAAACACAAATAGAATTTATGCAAATAGAATAAAAATTAAAACATGAAATTAACTAACCTCGACGAGAATCAATAAATTCGAGGCATGAAAAATCCTTATAGGAGACAAATTGTCTCATGAGTAAAGTGTCTATCGGGTTGGTCCCGAATTCCACGGACTCTAGTTGTCTGAGAAATGTGTGGAATGCATTAAGTCATCGAATACAAAAAACTGGAAAAAAGTATTTGATATCTTCGAGGCTACTAACTAATTTCGATTAGAAAATTTTATTGAGAGTATCATAGCACTGTCTGATCGGGTCCAGTCTGGAAATTTTGGACGTAACAGGCTCTATTCATAGAATGAGAAAAGCCAACTGGTCCCATGAAACAATTTTTTCGTCCTTTCTCATTCCATTCGGAATCCTAATTTGAATTATTATAGTTTTCATTGTCGACATAGGATAGGAAATTTTTAAGGAATATTTTTCTTGTACAATATAAAAAATATGTTTGCTTGTTTCGGAAGGATAACCTTACATGTAATCTAAAATGGTATGGGATTTTTATTTTTATTTTATTAGATCTTGCAATGATGAATTATTCTAATGATAAAAAAAATGAAAACTGTTTATTATCGAATAATGATCCATCATTAAGAGATCGTTTAGTAGCATTTACTACAGATTATTCGTTTTGGTTTCGTATTTTCTTTTTAATCATCGTTATTATTATGTATGTATTTATAATTATTTATTTATATAATTATTTATTTATTCAAAGAAAACTTCATTATCCATATATTAATAAGTCATAATCTTAGATTAAAAATACTTTCAAAAACAGATTTCCTAATTCAATTGTATATATCTTTGTTTATGCAGCACAAAATATTGACTAATATTTTAATTATTTTTCGATAATCAATTTCAAAAACCAAGAACTTAGTTGTTTTTTTTTCAAACAATATTAATGAATCTTCTATGAAGTTTTCTTACCATATAAAAAAATGAAATCTTTGGTCTATGATACAATTTGATTCAATTATTCATCTTGAATAATAACATGTCATTGCTTTGAATTAACTTCATCACTTATATATGAACTACTAGTTGTTAGATCATATTAAACACGATTTGACTTTGCTGTGATAATGGATATGGTAAATTTTTGTTTGGAAGAAAACATTGATGTATTTATTTTTTCTTTGATCAATATTTGATTTTAATAAATTTGTTCGCACAAATAATTTTTAATAAAAGAAAATTAATGAAGAGGAATTCTTTTTTTATATTTTTATTCCAAATTATCAAGTAGATATAGTTTCAATATGAATCTTGAAAAATTTTTGTATAGAAAACTCTGATCGATAATTTATACAAGATGGGTATTAATAAAATAAAAGAATTTCCTTTTAAATTATATAAAATTGGATTATCTATAATAAATAAATTAAGATATCGAAACTTAATTTTTATTCATTTTTAATAATAAAAAATTACGTTCTTTAAGTTCAAGTAAAATATTTATTAATTGAGATATGTATGAATTTCTTTTCATCGAGTTTAGATAGTAATGCTCGACTGATTCCCATTCAGAACAAGGACTCGACAAGAAAGCAATCGATAGAATAGTTTAAACTTTTTATTAGGTTAATAGAGTTGGAACATAATTCAAAACTATATAGGCATGCATACTTAACCACTCTGATGTCGCATTCTTATTTCTTTATGTAGCTTCAGCTAGTTACCAGAAAAATATGATTTTTTTTACTAATTATAATGCACACATATAGAAATGTAAGCTGATGTATATAATCAGTGATTAGAAATTCCTGACGCTCTGATAGTAGCAGCTGAAATTTTTCAATCCTTTTTTAAAAATTTTCTTAGCTCCGTAAAACTTTTAAATGAAAAAAAAAGAAGAAAGTGATGGTAGAGAACGTAATGATACGAACATTGCTAAGAATAGCCCTAAATATTGATTCTGATTATTAAAACTTTTGAAAAATGTACTAGTGCCTTTAGAAAATCCCAAACCTAGTTTTTAAGCAGTCAGAACCTTAAAATAAAAATTTATTTTAGCTACACAGAGTGATACGGTAATTAATTCTCTATAACATACTTCATTATATTTTTTGACTGAACTACATCAATTTTAGGAAGCATCGAAATGTCCTTTTTCTCCGATTTTTCTATAGGAACTAGGCAAAAAAAAAACACCTTTTTACTTTTCTTAAAATTAATGTAATGGAGTCAAAAAATATCGCGGAGCATGATATACAGAATTATTTGCTCTATCACTTTGTCTAATAAAAAAGAAACTTTTATTTTGGGGCTCTCAGTGGTGAAAAGTTGGCCGTTGACTTTTTAAAGATCATGAATTTTGGAAATACAGTGACGATTTTACTTTCCTGAAATCTTTGTTGGAAAGAAATTTATCTATCCAAATCATTATCAGGGTCCTTGATACAAGTTACCATTGCAAAAGAAAAATAAAACATGTAGGATCTAGTTTTTGAAGCCACTGCGCATGCCTTATAACTAGTGAGAAAACAGAGTTTTCTGATACTTGGTTGAAGCTGAAATAAACAAATTGGTTGAGCATGCTTATAACTTATTTATTAATTCATGAAAATTTGTCTATTTATTATTATAATAAATATTACCATATCTGTTTTTCGTCTAGGAGATAATTACTTTCTAAAAAATTTTGAAAAAAGTTCTTTAAAGAATTTCAATGGAATATTTATTTTAAAAAAAATACAATACTCAGGATCATTCGACTAAGAAAAGTGTTTTATGTTTCATTAGTTTTTTGTTTATCGCCATTTTCATTTATATTTGATTTTTTCTTTGTCGATTCAGCTTGGACGTCTTTTTCATGCAACCATTGTTTGTATGCTTCTTGACTCTCTTTTGTTCTCAGTGATCGATATTTTTCATCTTTTAGTTTCTTTTGTCTGGCATCCTCTGCTTCTTTTTGAGCACTACTCTTGTCTTTTTGCTTGATCTCCAGCCATTGACTACATGCAGCTGCTACTTCATCAGGTGATCGATGTTTTGGCTTTTTCGGTTGATTTATTGTTGATGTTTCTTTAGAATATATTGAAGATGTTGTTGAAAGATAAGTTTTAAGACTGATCATGACTGAATCTTCTAAATTTAAAGGAGTTGTTTCTATAACTATTTCACCTCGACCTAATCTTGTATTAATATCATTTTCTATTCTTTTTAAATCAGCTAATATTGAAATATCATTTTGTGTATTATTACGTGTAGTGCTTTCTTTTGGTAGTATTAATCTTTTATGAATATTATTTAGTAATGAATGTTGTCTTGTTAATTGTCGCATAAATTCTCGTTCATGTTTTTCAGTAAGTTGTTCAATTTGTTGTCTTTTTCTATTAAATATCTGTTCGATAGTTGTATGAGCATCTGTACGCCAACGGTCAAGTTCAAAAAGTGGGTCTCGTTCATTTGGTCTCCAAACAGTTAAATGTTGAAGTTGTTTTGAAATTTCTTGTAGTTTACTTGTTAAAGTTGTCATCAATTGATTCGAGTTGTTTCTTTGCTTTCAAATGAAACAACGTGTGTCGTGTAAGTCTGAAAGAAAAGTTAAAAACAAAGCGTCAATTTAACTGAAGAATAGTTTTTTACTTTTCTTGTTTTGACAACGTTTACGTAGTACATTGTTTTGATGAATGAAAAGAAAAAAAAATTTGTTTTTGTAGAATCTATAAACAACTTGAAGAATGTTATTGTAACCGATACAATCGAAATTATATGCTCAAAAGATTTTTTTTGGTTTTTATTCATTTTTCTGTACAGAGATAAAATCTATAAAAAATAAACTACATGAAAAAATACAGAATATTAAAAAACCTTTATTTTAAAATCAAATATTTGATGTTTGAGAACTTGGTCCTATAAATAAATGTGTATCAAATCGATGTTGTGAAGCTTTAAGTATTTGAAATTTACGATCACATCCCAGAAAAATAAAAATAAAAATAAATTGAATAACAGCAAGAACAAAAAAATAAATATAAAACAATTCAGGTTTTCCAGTATCTTTACACTAAAAAATTCAAAAACTATTGTATCAAAGATATGTTATTTTTTTTGTTTTCATTTTCAAATACCTCTAAATTTGTTACTGTAAAATTTTCATAAACATTTTCATATATGTTAATATATGCAGAACCCAAAAATGATGAAAGACCAACTGAACAAAAACGAAGACTCATTACAAGTGATTGAGCTGATTGAGGTGCAGCCAAATAAGCAAATTCAAGACTAGCTACTGAAGTAAATACTTCAGATAGACCTAAACTAATATATTGTGGAAATTGATACAATATTGACATATCAGCAGCGTAATAAGTCGTATTGCCTATGACATAAAATGAAATTATTCACAATAAAAAAAAAAGCGAATGAATCTGTAATTATCGGTTAAATACCAATGGTTTGTTGAAAAGATGAATCACATTTTTTTTGACGAAATATCTCGACTATACCGGTGAGACACATGGAAAGTGTAGCTGAGATCATTCCAATAACCATACGTATTTTGATTGAAAATGGTCGATTGTTAATATGAAGCCGTTTATATAAACATGTATTTAGAATGAAAATGACAACTACAAGAATAAACAATGATTTTTGATCAATTGTAAAGAGATTTAAGATAATTTCTCTATGAACTGTCTATATCTTTGAAATATATTCCCTATATCAAGTTACTGGATAATATAATAATACATACGAATAATTATTACTTGATCACAAAGAGAAAGCCAAACTATAGGCATACGATTAATATGTGATTGCAATAGTGGTATTTTCATATGAACACCTTGTACAATAAACGTTGTATTACTCTAAAAAATAAAATATAAATTGAAATAGATAAATTATAAAAATAGTCTATTTTCAATTAAATTTAACCAAGAAAAAATTTCTACCTGCAAATATATCAGCCAATAGGGTACTAAAAGTAGAAACATTATGATAATACGTCGAAGTGATTTAATATCATCAACAATACGATCTGGAAAGCGACCATTATTATTTCCTTTAGCATAATCAAAAAATGATATGGATTGTTCATTCATATTAAATGAAAACTCTTCCTTATTATTATCATCATATTGATCATTTGAAAACATTGATTCATTAGAAAATCTATGTTCACTGAACATTTTACGTACATAACATCGATGTTTACGCCATGTTTGAAATGCATTAATTAAAACAGGAAAAAAATTAGTTAGTACAGAATCATATGGTTTTATATGAATATAACATCTATATCCAATAAGAAAAACTACCAAAGTTACAACAAGTAATATGATTGAAATTAAATAACCTATAAAATAGGATTTATTCTGTTGTATATAAGCAATTAAACCAAATGCAAGAAGACAGCCTATAGTCACAGAAATATAATATTTATAAAAATATTGTGTTGTAGATTTTTGTTCTTGAATTTGTTCAGCTCCTAATATAGCCATATTTGATTGAACTGTTCCTACACCAATTGCACTAAATGAAAAAAACAGAGAATAAATTCAGGGATGTCCCGAGATCGTCAGAATTGTAGAGAAGAGAAAAGCAAAAACAACGAATAAAATGCTGGAACTTCGCTGGAAAAAGTCGAAAATATTTCAAGATTGGAAGGATATCCGCAACTCAAAACATCATGAGTAAATCATAAATTGAACTCACGTGACAACAAGTACGGTGGTAATTGGAATGCTACATTTTTCTTTCGAATATGGCATTGATTCGTCGATTTGAGTTGGTCGTCCATTACATAATGTTTCAAATATTTCAACTTTTGAAAATAATGGAATAAATAAATAGCCAATAATGTATACAACAAAACCTGTATGTCATGTTCAGAAGAAGGATTTGAATAGAGAAGAAGAAATCTTTATTTAGTCTTGTTTTACCAATTAGAATTGTTTTTGCACGACCTAATTTAGCATCACTTATCCAAGAGAAAGCAAGTGCTGATATATAACTTGTACCTTTTTAAAGAAATAAAATATTAATATGATTATATATTATTAATCGATTTATTTTACCGTAAAAAATTAATGAAGCCATTATACTATGAAGTGATGTCCAACGAATAGAATTCGATGTAAGGAAAAGAATAAGATTACCAACTAATGAGAAAAATGCTAATCTTTCCAAAGCAACTGTTATTAGAATTAACCAAACAGAAAATTTTTTTTGAATCGATGTTCGATTATCTGCTTTAGGTGAAATGCGAGATATTTGAAAAACTAATGGAGATAATTCATCTATACTTGTATCAGTCATCTTAATATAAGACTATTCATGATAAAATCTTATAAATGATTAATGAAAGTACATACGATCTTTGTTTAGTACTTCTAGATGTATATATTTTAGAAACTCAATGACAATAGTTATTATAGTAGCTATATGTAGGCAGTTACAGATCTTACTGATAAGATAAAAGGAAGAAAACAAAAAAACAAATGCTTGACTTATTTTAAGAATAGAAATTTTTTTTTTGACAATGATTCATAAAACATTTGTGTGAGAATCTAATTGGATAGTTTTTATGAATTCTTTTGAGAAAATTATCATGATAAATGTTTATAGAAGTTTTCAATGAAAAATTGAGTATGTTCTTTGATGTAACAATAAAATTTGTTCTTAATGGATTAAATATGACTCTTATTTATACGTTTACAAGGGAACTAATCCATTTATAATTCACCCTTTGAGCTTATATTGAACTCATAAGGAGGTTTCCGTAAGGCTAGAAAATTTGTAAAAGGTTTTGTGTCCACAAGTCTCTGATGTGGAGGAGCTATGACCATTTGACCCAGTTTTAGTAATTTGCTGAAAAACCAAATAACAAAACTTCGAACTACAATTTTGCACCATAAATAAATTTAATGATCCTTAGAATATCCTGGAAATTTCAGTCGAAAATAATATTTATTTTTCGAGATATTAGATTTTTAACAAATGGTCACTTGTCAAAGACATGCCACAAAATTTAGGTTTATTTAGAAATATAGTATGATGACAAAGGAATATTCTTTTCGGCTGAAACTTACACAATATTCCAAGAAATATTAGATCTATCTATAGGCAAAGTTGTAGGTTGAAATTCTGTTATTTGTTTTTCCAGTTAATACCTAAACATGGATCAGAAGTTCAGTAAAACGGTCATAATTTGATTCCCGAGATCGATGGACACGAATCCTTTTAAACTTAGGTATTAGTAAAATATCCTCTGACCTACTCTAAGCATCGTTTTACTTGGGACATATACCAGTCGATAGAGTTTATTATTCTGAGTCTACTGACCTTATTTTGAGCCAAAAGCTCAGCAAGATAAATCTTTAGGAAATAAAGTCAAATGTAGATCTACTGCGTATTTTGAACTGACTAAAACCATCAGATGTTTACCACAGCTTCATCTAAGGTCATTTTTCGAATATTTATTTATCTGAATTTTTGACTTAGAGTGAGGCTCAGAAGAATCGCAATCTCAAGCTCTACCACCTACTAATTAGTATAAGTCTCAAGTAAAACATGGCTAAAAGTGTATTTTACTAATACCCTTTAAGCTTTTTCTTGTCTTGCCGAAACTTCCTTGTGGACTCAATGTGAGCTCAAACAGTCAGTTATAATTCAGGTAGTTCCCTCTTTAGTATATCGATTAGATATCGTCTATTGCTAAAATACTTCTTAGTACTATGTCTTTAAATGTCGAACGACAAATTTTTCAGATTCATTTAAATGTCGACTAAATGTCAAATAAAAATCTATTACGTTCTATTTTCAATGATTTTATCCATAATTCAATAGTTTTCAATAAAGTTTAGAAGTATTTTTTCTTATTGGACTGAATCATAAATATGAAAAAATCATTAATACAGTTGTTAATTTACTATTCATGCAAACCATTATAATACGTAAAACAACAAAAGTACTAATAATAGCATTTATTTTGACCTTGACTCTTTTGTAATTACGACATATTATATTCTTTTTCTTTTGAGTCTGCTCTGTACACATGATTTTCCATATGACTGCTTTTTACTCATTTATCATCAGAAAATAAGTATTGATAATATAAATATAACGCATAATAGTGATAGTCAGTCGTCACAAGAAAAAAGGATTTTTTTGTGTTCTTCTTTTTTGTCATCAATCATATCTAATCGTTATGATCAAGTGTACTTAATAAAAGTTCTTGTACAAGAAAAACATTCATTCTTTGTACGACATAATTCATTGTATTGTATATCTTTTTATCTTTTGATGATCATCATATATATCCAAAAAAAAACTTGAGAAGAATTTAATTGATATACTTTATAATTTGAGAAAAACGTTCGAGATTTAAATTTTTCATCATCTAAACGAAATTTTCTTTCTCATCTGAATTGTGTAACCTCTAATTTTCTTTGCTAATTAAGAAGATCAAATTTCTTAAGCTGTTTTCTTTTTATTAGATCGATCTTTGGCACGTATCTCATATAATTACCCTTGACGATAGTTATCTTTATAATCTGTGAGCAAAATCACGGAAGGCTCATCTTCATTTTTTTCATCTCATTATCGTCGTGTGAATATCGATTTCATTCGATGAATTTTGATCTATTTTTTTTCACCACATAGAAAGAAACAAAAATTCCCATGAGACTTTCTTATAGATGATTAACGATAGAATCATTGTTACCATCACGAAAAGCTAAAATAGGAACAAATAATTACTTTCATTTAGTATTCATATACAATAGAAATAATAACAAATGGAATATCGTTTCTATTCAATGTGTTTTGTTATTTGATATTTTATGCAAGAACAACATATAATCTTTTTTAATATTTAGTTCTTTTGTTATTAAACCAGATGAAAACCTATTTGACTATTCATTCATTCACAATTGATTGCTGTTGTTGTTTATGTGATTTTGTGTTCCTATGTTGATACATATCATTATCATTTAGGAATCCTTGACTATGAGATGAAAGCTTACACTTTGCGTCTATATTTTCAACAGCAGTTGTTTTATCTGCATAGACGAATAAGAGAACCTTTCTTAGGCTTTTTATCGATTATAATGTAGCATTATCAACAAATGCAATCCTAGTAAGGACATCCAAATTCTAGAAAGGTTTTGCTATGTAGTTCTTCTTGAGGACATATATCAAGATATGCCTAGAAAAAAAGAGCATTGAAAGATTTTTCTATGGCTTATCCTTCACTAGAAACATCAATATGTAAATGTGTGTTATACTGATTTTAGTAGATAATTTGTAAGCTTTTTATCTTGATTAGAAATGTTTACATATTGAAATATTTTTTATAGTTTTTATTAATCTCACTGCTTTCGACATGTAACAAGAACTCCACATCATATACCATCCACTATCTAGGGACATTTTCTTATTATAAAGTATTAATCGAATTTTGATTTTTTATTATATATAGCAAAAGATTCATTATGCGTCACCCGTTATAAAAAAAAAAACAAAGTCAAATAATATTAGATATATATATATATTTATAGTTTTGATGTATGAATGTCGATAAAGATAACGGGTGACGTAGGAAAAAAAATATATATATATATAAAAAGAAAACAAAACACACTCACACAAATAACAGCAAGAACAAACAAAACACGTACACGTATAAGACACAAAAAACAAAAATGAAGGAAGGTTCAAATTTTAAATCATTGGGCTCGATGGAGAAAGTAAATCAAATGAAAGTACATTTTGTTGTTGACATGATGACAATGATGTATCAAATAGATGATGATGATCATTGCCAAATTGATTAAGAAATTGTGTTAAATCAGAATTATTATCATCATATAAATCATTAACTATTGTTGGAGATGTTATCATTGGTAACCAATCCATATGTGTATTAGGAGATGATGATACATAGGAATTGGAAGGATTTGTTAGAGAATCATCTGGATGTAATGGTAATGTTGAACAAGAATCTATAAAAGAAAAACAAAAGTATTCTTAATCAAAATTTTCTTTTTTTGTTAAATATATTTTACCAGGAAAATCATCCAATAAACTTAAAATAGCATCATCATCGACTAATTTTGTTTCATTATTGGTCTAAGAAAGAAAAAAAGAACAAGAAACAATTGATTTGTTGTTTTATTTTGTAATATTATTATTATTTACCACATGACATGTATCGTAATAATTACTATCCATAAATGTTGGAAAAGTTGGAGCTGACATTGAATGATGTATCGACCATGGATGATTATCTGACGTTTGTGGTTGAGTTTGATTTGCAAGAAATTGTGCAACAGATTCAGGTGTTAAAGGAACTATTGAATGCTGTTGTTGCTGTTGTTGTTGTTCATCATGAATTTTTTGTTTTAATTTTTCTTGTTGATGTAAAAGTACACCTAAAAATTAGAAAAATTTGATTCATTTATCGGAAAGAAATCTTTAGTCATATGTTACGTTTTTGTAGCTCGACAGATACAATTGGATTACATTTCGGTGGAATCTAAAAATAGAATTTATATAGTTTTTTTGATAAAAAATTTAAAAAAAAAGTTATTTACTGTTGTTGAATTGTCAACATGTTGAATAAGATGTGATGTTTGAAGTGAAAACGAATCAAGTTGTTTTAATTTTTGTAATTGATTCTCTAATTCAATAATTTTTTGCTGTTGTTGTTGATAAAGTTCTTGATCACTTAATGAAGGTGTTGGTACTATAAAAAAAAAAAGAACAAATTAATCCGACAAATTTTTTTGTTTTCTCATGAGATGAATTTTTTGCAAAACAAAATAAAAAACATAACAATCTTGTTTTGAGTTAATTATTTTTGTTTAGTGTAAAACATTCAAGAAAAAAGTCTCTTAAAGACGAAAGCGGAACTCTCAAGAGAAGATTACCTGTTTTCTTCGTAGTCGAATGTGAAGGAAGAAATTAAAAAATATAGGCTGCTACTGGAATGTAAAAAAAAAGACTTATGGCAACCAGCTTTTTATTCTCGAGAGTGTTTATAACACTTATCTGATTAGAAAAGCATGTTATTCGTCAGATAAATTGGAAAAGGATTCTATAAAGAAATTTGTAAAAGGAACATTTTTCATGTTGTTTTTGATTAATGTTGGAACTTGTTTTATCCCAAGAGATAAAAAGAAGAAACATATTGTTTTCTTCACTTAAAAATATCATTAAAAAATTTCTTTTACATTCTTAAAATAAATGATAAATTTGCTTGGTTTTCTTATCTAAAAATTGTAGACTATTGAATTGAAATTTAAACTTTATTTACTTAAGAATGTAACTGATGATGTTGTTGGACTAGTCATTTGAGTTGAAGATGTTTCATTATTTATTGTTTGTGATGGAATAATTGTTGTATCTAAATTGAAATTTGTTGTTTTTTTCAATTTGGTTATTTTCTTTTTTCTTACCTGACATGTTGATTTTAGCATTTCTTAATTTTTCAATTAACTTCATTTTTGTACCTGTCGTACTTAGATTTAATCTTCTACATTCATTTTTTAAATCAACTAATTTCATTTTTTCAAATGTTTGAATTTCATCAGATATTGTTGTTAATAAATTAACATTATCATCAATAGGTTGTTGAAGTAGATTACCTATTGGATTATCATCATTATTAGTATCTTTATGATTATTATTATTATTATTATTATTATCATCATCAATTTTATCATCATTTTCAATTGTTTTATTATTATGAAGTAATTCAAGAAATAATTGTTGTTGTCTTAGTTGTATTCTGTAATGATTTTCATTAAGTTTATTATGTTGTTCTAATGGTACAAGTGGTAAAAGTGTTGCTTGTACTGGTTGTACAATAAGGGATGGTGTGGGTTGTAATGGTACTTTAGTTATTTCAACTTTTTGTGATGGTCCTTTATATTCATGAAATGTTAAACTTGATTTTATTTTTGATGTTGATGCTAACGAGCGTTTTGTTGTTATTGTTGTTGTTGGAAACGATTGTCCATTGATTGTATTTGAAAATGATGATGTTTTTGGACGTAATGGTCTTGGTTGTTGATCTATTGTAACTTTTGATGGTGATTTTGTTGTTGGAAATTTAATACGTCCATGTTGTATAGCTTCTTTAAGATTAGGATCAATTTCTAAAATATTACTTGCAACTAATTCTAATATTCCAGGACGTGCTGCTAATTTATCATTTAAATTATCAGCTAAACGTGCACGTTTTAATTGACATTGAGTTTTTTGTATAGCTGGTGCTGCTGTTGTATCTGACAATATATTATGTTCAATTAATAATTGACGATCAGGTCGAGATATGATTTTATTTTTTAATATATCTTGTGTCTAACAAAAAAAACAAGAGAAAAAAGAAAACTATAAGATTTATAGATGAAAAATAAAGAATAAAATACTTTTCGCATTTGTAATTGTTTACGTTGTTCATAAAATGGTAATGGTGCTTTTGGTGGTGGCATAATACCAACATCAACAAGTTGTTTAAGTGATCGACGTGTTTGTAATTTACGTTTAAGTGCTATGAAAAATTTTAGAAAAAGGTACAAAAGTTATTTTCAATCTATTTTTTTTTCCATTTAACTTACATTCTCGATTTTTTTCAAGATCTTGTGTTAATGACTGTTCATTTATTTGTTGTTTTGGGCTGTCTTCATCTTTAAGTGTCGACATCTCGTCGATTATATTTCCAGTATTAATAGTATTACATGCCATCACATATAGGACAGAATTTTCAGACTGCCTACTAACAACATTTTCTAAATAAATAAAATAGAATCAGGTCATTAATGTTTAGTGAGTATACTTCTGGTCACATTTACTACTGTTGTTCAGTGATTAGTGTTCTTTTTTACTGTCTACGATAACGCATAGATATTAAACAAAGAATAGAATAGAATAGAACAGAACATCTGTCTTTGTCTCGTTTCTTTTGCTTACTTTATGGCTCGCGATGTCTACATACATGTTCGAACGTCGGTAGGAAAAAGATGGTAGCCATAGCTATAACACTAATAGGCGACATACACACGAGTATTTCCTCTTATGCTCTCAACGCACGATGTTTTATGATATTATTTATTCTTATAGAAAAAAAAGATGACGAATGTCAAGGGCAACAAAAGAAATGAAGAAAGGCAATACGAAAAGTACTGATAAGATTAAATTTCGAATGAATAATATGAAACAAGCAATTGATGGTTATGGTTCTTTTTTCTAATGGGTTTATTTATCGTTGGATAATAAAATTTTGACATTCTATATAGAAAAGAAGAATCAAGAAAGAAACAAGAATTGTCATTGATACTCAAGTTATGTTGTTAAATTGAACTACATAAATAAATCGGAGAACGAATAAATCAATTTAAACTTTTACTCTCTCATTCTTTCTATCTTATCGTTGATTTACGTTGTGTATATTTGCCTACTTAGTCGACAGTATATAGTTAAATAATAATATTAATACAATAATGAATCATGAGAATTTTTCTTATTGGCTCTCTATCAGAATAAACAGTTAAAGTAGATGGCAGTAAGAATTGATCTATGAGGTTAAAGTTTTGAAATTTCAATGAAGTAAATACATGGCTATTTTTATGGACTGATAAAATATTCTAGTGATTCTTTGACATATTTACATACTCTATATAATTATGAAGGTTGTATTAATTCATTTGAATAAATCAGAAACAAATTATTATCAAAAGGTTGATCAATTGAAAATGTTCATTAATGAAAGTTTGGATAGACGAAAAAAATTGCCTACAGCTATTCTGCATCAATGGATCGAATAATTGTTCATTGACAGTTTGTAATAAAAATGTGTTCGATGAATGCATTAATTAAACTTCTTCAAGAATATGTCTTCATAGATAGGCATTTCTTTTTCGAAGAGATGAACATTTATTTCTAGAAATATAGACATGTAGTAGAATGACTGCAAACTTGATGATAGTCAATCCTATCTTCAAAGAAGTGTCGTCGTCTCGGCCACAGCGCTGAATAAACCAGTAGTATTTCGTCATATTTCAAGAGAGTTTTATTTCATTGGGGAATTAATCGACTATCCTGAATAATAAAGAGATTTAATATATTAAAATTTTCAACGTAAGATAAAAATATTTACATCTGTAGTTGATAATGATGAAACTTTTATAAATACTTCTATCTATAATTTTCATTAAAAAAATACAATTATCGTACCATCAGGCAAAAATTGGAACACCTTCATTTGAATTTTTTTGATTGTTCATATCTTTCTTGATTCAAATATGTGTGTTACTACATACATAATTATATAATCTGTGCAAAAAGCAAACAATCATAACTAGTTATCCTTGAATTAAAGATATTTGAATATTATTAAAATGATCTTCGGAATTGAATATACATCATGAAGAGAAACTTTACCTATTATATAATTATAATGAAAAAACACGTGCAGTCGAATGAGTCAAGAAATAATCATCAAAATCAATCAGAGAAGCTACAAAAAATAATGCAATACATTGAATTAGAAGTGCATATGTTGCATATATACAAGTAAAATGACAAGGTGCTTGTTAAAACTCAAGTCAGAAACTTATTTTTTTTTGTATCTTAATGGATAATAAAATAATGATCTAGAAATTTATGTTATCATAAAATCAGAAGTCAACATAAATAATGATATAGAAAAAGATAAATAACTATATAATTTTATTTAGAAATAATAATAGAAAAAGTACGTACAAAGACATCGATAAAACAAAGTAAAAATGAAAGAATTGATCGAAACTTATTACTGGAATTCTATTTCACATGTATTTTTTATTCAATTTTGAATAATATTATTAGTTTTTGCTGTGTTATTTTTTTTTCTTTGTTTGATTGATGAATCGGTTTTTAGGTTTCCTCTATTCTTCAATTTGGTGTTTTTTTTCAATTACTCTATCTCATTTTCATATCGAGAATGATGAATCCACCCATTCTTAAACAAATAATAATTTTGTCTTTCTTTCAAGTCATGCTTTTTTTTCTACTACCTATTTTACAGTTATCTTGATAATGAAGAACTACATTTGACTATCAATATTACTATTATACCATAGTCACACAATAAAGCTATAGAATTCATTGTTATTTCGAATCGATTTAAAATAAATTCTATTTTGTTAGTGTAAAATGAATCGAATAGATAGAATACATTCACATATCAATGTTGAATTTCAACAATATACATTACATTTTGTTAATGTAAAAAGAAGACCTAATATGTAATTTAGTATCTTTGAATAAATTATACAAATGTTATGTTCTCATTTTTCTGTATAACAATTGAGTTTAATTTGATATTCGATCATTGTTTATAGAAATAAATAAATATTTAAAAAAATGAACAATATACAAAATATCAAAAGATTTTTGTTTAAACAAATATTTATTTAAAAAAATATCTAATCATTAAATGAAATCTATTATTAAAAAATATATCAGTATTTTATTTTCTCTTGATCATAGAGATTGTATCAGATATTATTATGGTAGTTTCTTTCGTACGCTTACAGCCATCGTAGTAGTACAAGTTGGACATACAAGATCGTTTGCACGACCATCACCATTATCAACAACCATCGTTGGACGATGATATAAAGGAGAACCAGTTCTTTGTGAACGAATATTCATAACTGGTGGAGCAGTTATCATACCATCAGGTCCTGTTGGTACAACTGGCAATGTATTTTGTGCTTCGGGATAAACAGTTGGTGTTGTTTTACCCTGTTTCACTCGACTAGCTGTTACTATATATATAATAATAAAAACCAAACATAAAACAAACATTACACAACCAGCAGCTAATTGCCCTTTAATTAATGGTATTTTGATATCATTAAAATTTGAAGTCGAATAAAATACACCTCGTGTAGATCCGGAACTATCACATGTTGATGATGGAAAAAAACATGTAGAAGTATTTATCAAAAAATAAGCATCAAAACCAATAACACAAGCTGCAAAAAATAACGATATACATTGCATTACAAGTGCATATGAAGCACAACCACGTTCACGACAACAACATGCTATAAAAGAAAAAGATCAATATGTAGAGATAAAAGAAAAAACCTTAATAAATAACTACATGCTGATGATTGTGAAATCCATGCAACAATAAAAAATGAACCTGCCCACAGGCCAACATAAATTGTAGCAGTAACAATATCGATAAGCATACTACCGACTTCACATCCAATAATGGCAAAAGCAAGAATGAATTGAAAAACAGAAAGTATACCAGAAAGAACTGCTGGAAACTTTAGTTTCCATTCTTGTTGCGGTGGTGTATTTGTTGGAGCTGTTGGGGGCTGTGCCGGAGCCATCGGAACCGGCGTAACTGGTGGAACGTTATTGATCATGATACTGTGTTCTTTTTTACACTTATTTTACAAATATTTCTTATTTGATAAAACTATTCAATCTTATATAGTATTAGTCGGTTTATTTACTTTAGCTATTCTTTTTTTTTTTCTAATTTATAAATGTCACAAAGGTTTCTTTTTTTTTTTGTTCTAGCCAACTAAGAATTTTTTTCTGTTTCTTCCGCGTATTCATTTTCAAGAAAAAAAAAGAAAGAAAAATTACCACATACACAACTGTATGAATGTCAACATTGTTATCGAAGTGTTTTTTTTTTTTCTTTTCCAAACTGAATTATAATTAAAAATAATCAAATAGAATATTCTACAATCGATGATGTTGATGACTTGTTAACAGGAATATTTTCATAGAATTAAAACTTCGATCTAAATCATTAATCAACTTTTTTTCTTTTTAAAATAGAAAAAAAGGCAAATATGTAACTTATTCTTCTCAATGGTCGACAAGAACAATAGGAACGGAAGTTTTTGTTTTTTTTCATTATATTAAACTTAAAGAACAAATTTTTATCTTTGCTTTTAATCTTTCAAGAAAAAATTTGAATACATACGAACTCTTTCATAGCTTTTTCATCATTAATATTCTCATTCATTTCGATCAATGTAAAAAAAAAAAAAAGAAATGTACATATACACTATTCATAAACTTGAATAGTCTGAACACAATGGTCGGTCATTGTTTTGAAATTATATATAATCAAGCATTGAACATTGATACACTTTATACAACATGTTGTTTCGTTCTATCATCTTCGTTTCACTTATATTTTTAATAAATAGCAAAACGATTTTGCCGTTGAATATCACTGAGACTATGAAAGAAACAACAATTTTTCCAACAGAAACAACTGCAGTATTAAATACAACAACAATGGAATATGAAGAAGAAATTACAATAACAACTACACCAACAAAGTCTCTTGAATATAATAAATCTTATGAATTTCAATCAAACTTTAGTCGTAATAATGATTCAGTTTTTGTTTCTATTCATTCAAATGCATCTGATACATTTGTATGGATCAATAATACGTTTACTAATAGTAAATATGATAATTATCCATGTGAAATTTTATTCTATGAGCATTGGCACAATTTAAATCAAATGTTAAAAACAAAAATTATTATTGATTTCAATCGATCATTCTCACGTGATTTGGCTATTCAACTTGGTGATCGTTTAATGGATATTGCAGATCTATTATCAACAATTCGATCGATAGATAATCGAAATAACACATTAGAAACAGATGATTGATAATTGTTGTTTTCCTTTTTTTCTATTTCATGTCAATAATAAATTGTTTTAAAAAAAGTAAATAACCTATTTCTATGCTGATGTATTATTCCGTGCATGAATTTACATTATATTTGAAATAATTTACAAGTTCGATAAAGTTATGAGAATGTTTTCAATTCACCATCATAATCGACATTATTTTATGTCTAAGATTATTTGAAAAAAATAATAAACATATATTTCCAATCATTTTGAAATTTGCGTGACCTCTTAAATAACAAGTAGTTGTTAATAATTGTGTACTTTCAATAAATAGCAAAGCAACTTTTCTATTAATTTCATTCACATTCGGCTCATTGCATGTCATATTGTATTGCTTGGGTTACGAATTTTTTTGTTGAAGTTTTAGATTTCCTACTAAAGAAAAAAAAACAATTAGTGTAGTGTCAAACAATTCTAATTATATTTTCCGATGTAAATATTGTTTGAAATCATGAAAACAATATTGAAACTCATAAGATATTGAAGAATAATTTTTATATCACATGCAAATCAGAGAAGTCATTGGAAAGAAAATAAAGAATTTTGAAATGTATGAGTAATATATTCTGTAAGAAAAAAAGTTTCAATCTATGAAGATGAATATATTTGTTCTTATCATCAATCGTTTGGTCATAGTTCAACAAGAATAACTGAATAAGGATGATCTGATAAAACTTTTGATTTTAATATTCAAATAATGAAAATCAACAAATCCTAGGTTCTGTAGATGACTTGATAGTGGAGGTTCAGCAATATCTTGAGTTCCAAATCAAATCAAGATATTTATTTTATTGGACACCGTGCTAGATATACACAAGTGTAGTTTTTGAAGAATATATTTTTTTCATTAAACTTTTCTGTATCTTTTAAAGCAAAGAGTGTTCCATAATAACTAAACTACCAACAACAAAATGACTGCAAATCCTATTTTTGCTCTAAAATGTATAATTTACTGTCAGAAGAAATTTTCTTAGATATATTTGAATAGTTCAAGTGTAGATGTTTATAATACAAATAAAAGTTTAATATGAAGATACAAAATGTTGTTATACTATTGCAGTCTTTTTAATATGTTCTTGAATAATAGTTGTCGATAGACCATTGCATGCTTCATAGGACACATTCTCTAGTTAAACATGTAATATTGAATTATGTGAATGGCCAGGTCATAATCTTGATTTTAACGCTATTAGACTGGTTTGAAACCTTATCAAACAGAAAATTGAAAAGAACAATATCCAAAGTGACAACGTGAGCTAGCGAATGTGGTCAATGAAGCTTGCAACGACCTATCATTAAGTGTTATTCAAGAATCTATTAAAAGATTCAGACAGTATATCAACACTTTGTATCTTCTTATTAAACTCTTATTTGTATTATAAGCGTCTACATTTGTACTATTGATATATATATATGTATATCTAAGAGAATTTCTTCTGACCGTAAATAGTATAATTTAGACCAAAAATATGATATGCAGTCATTTTGTCGTTGGTAGAAAGGTAGATTGTCTATGACATTTTTCATACTTTTTCTTGATGTAGAAAGCTGCAATTTTTCTCACATGTCCATCTATCTACTCAAGGTTTTTTCCTTTTCCGAAATTTCAACTCTCTAGCTAAAAGTAATGTTGAAATGTATGGACAACAACATACATGAATTATGATGCTAAATTTTTATAATATTTTTACTATGTAGTTAATCGCGACATACGGGCTAAGAATTGTTTGAACTATATAAGAAATGCATTTATGTATAAAATCTTTTAGATATAATGACAAGTTTTATCGTAAATGTTCATCAGCTACGAAACAGAAAAGACTATCATTGATGGGAAATTTGCCAATGAAAAATGCGCGAAAAGGATAGATTAAATACTTTATCAATTACAATTGGTCATAGGAAGCATGTTCATACAGAATGAGTTTTATTATAGTTTACATTTTTGAAAAAAAATTTGCCTTATCAAGGTTCTTTCCATCGAATGTTGATAAATATCACTAGTCAAGAAATAAATATGTCACAGAAATCAAGTATGAAAATTCATGTATTGTACTTTTGTTCACGCATTTCAACACTAGTAGTAGCTAGAGAGCTGAAACTTTGAAAAATAAAAGATCTTGATGAGAAATATATGTGTGAGAAAAGTCTCATCCTTCTACACCAAGAACAATATGGGACATCTTTTATATTATTAACAGAGCTCTTGATGAACGAATGCAGTCTATGAGAGTTGGCTTCGAGGGGTAAACAGCAGAGACTTCGCTTTTGAAGTCTCAGAAGTCTCTAAAAATCTTACGAAGTCTCCTGCAATCTTATGAAGACATATGAAGTTTCATGAAGTCTTATGAAGTCTCGTGAAGTCACATGAAATCTCATGAAGTCTGATGAAGTCTTGAAGTCTGCAGTTTACCCCTCGGCTGGTTCATGAGTTACTAAACGTTGACCCTGCCGAATTCATGATTTTTGATTTAGAAATCGCTCACAAGATGCCTCCTACCGATTTTGATGATATTTTTTGTCAATAGATACTGCATAGTATCTATTGAAAAAACTTGAAAAGGATTCGAGTTTCTATTGAAACTATCTATATTTGAAGATTTCATATACAGTAGCTTGTATAAAGAGTCTCAGAATTGCCAATATCGTATCTTTGAGTTATGAATTTTTCAAAAAAGGATGATTTTCGAAGTTTAATGAATAACACAAGATAATCTTGAAAAGCTTTAATTGCGAAGATAAGAAGTCTACAAACTCTAAAACGCCTCACACGAGCCACTGTATATATATCTTTCAAATGTAGGCAGTTTCAATAGGAGCTCGAATCCTTTTCAGGTTTGTCAATAGATACTATGCAGTATCTGTATTGACAAAAAAATATCATCGAAATCGGTAGGGACTATTTGGGAAGATTTCCTTGTCAATCCAGCCCATACCATGCGTCACAGGTCTAGTTAAAAAGTTTTCTTGCAGATAGTTTAGCTCGCTACGCTGATTAAGATTATTTATCATCGTGAATTATCGTTGTATGTCATAAATTAAATCAAAATTTTTTCAATGAAAGAGTAGAACGATACAATATCAATGTTTTGAACAACAGAAAAGTTGCTAACCTCAGTATCCTCTTTAGTTGATTTCAACGATTAGTGGACAAAATGGCGATATCTCAATGAACTACGTAAACTAGTGACACGCTTAAACTATTTCAATTTGTTGGGATGTCTACTGTTTCTCTAGTAAACGACGATTATCTCATGTCCGTATTCTTTGTTATGCTGTCCTTCTGTTTATACTTTCTTGCATTTCATTGCAGAAAATTTGAACCAATAAAAGGACTACATGAAATCTCTTTTTTTAACGCAAAAAGGTTTTTCAACGGTAACACGCAACAACTCTACGAAATTTCGTGTTCTATATTCAAGATTCGATTCATTGACCAAAGCTCTTAGCTCTCATGGGTGTTCATCGTAAAATTCGATCAGCTCACCCCATTGAGAATTAATGGTTGAGTCTAATCACAAAACTTTTGTTTTATTTATATTTGGATTCGATTTTATGCTTTATTAATTTTCGTATAGGTTTAAAATGAATCGATATTGATTTCTTGTCTAGATTATATCTATCATATATGCACATCAGTTGACATTGTATGGTTTGTGGACTATGCTTTATCTAAAGAAAGTACCCAATTTTATTCATAAAAGACAATTCATTCTTCTCTACATATATATCTAGACCGTAACTTATCAATATTTGCTACATTCATCGAGGTTTATTTACTTCTGATATAGAATGCCATTTAGATAGGCGTCGCTGCAAACTACTAGAATAATTATTTTCGTATGCCAGTATTCGTTTATCCTTTTTACCAATAGAATAATATACTAGTTGTAGATTTGCGCAGAACTATTATACACAGTCACTTGTATTTTAACGATCAATATGTTGAAAGCTGTCCGTATTTTTTGTCGACAATCATCACCAAATCTATTACGAAGGTAAATTAGTTTGACAGGAGGACTGATTTATTTTATATTTCTTTAAATAATTAGATTGCGTCATACTGAAAATTCATCAAAAAATGATATATCTGGTACAACAAGTCTTGGGCGTAATTCAACATTCCCAACAGTTTATAATTTTCCTGCTTTATCTAAATCACCATCATGGTTACCACCAGTAAAATATGCTGTACCAGAAGCAAATCGATATGACACAAATGTAACAACACTTGAGAATGGTCTTCGAGTTTGTATTTATATTTTTTTAGTTGGAATAAATTATTGATTGGAGTCATTTTTTTTAATAACAGGTTGCTTCGGAAAAACTTTTTGGTGATTTTTGTACAATTGGAGGTAACTGAGGAAATTGATTTGTTTTATTTTATATCATTATTAAAATTTATTGTAGTTATTATTTCTGCGGGACCTCGATTTGAAGGCAAATATCTTAGTGGTGTTTCACATTTCCTTGAAAAATTAGCGTTCATGGTAAGAAAAAATTAATTTTGTATTTTTTTTCAAGTCCAGAATTTTCTTTTAGTCAACTAATAAATATGGAAGTCGAGAACAAATTGTTGAAACATTACATGATGTCAATGCTATATGTGATTGTCAAACATCAAGGTAAATTAAAAAAAAACTTTTGTTTTTGTATTTAAACGATTAATTTTTATAGAGATATTATTATCTATGCATTATCATGCCGAACAACTGGTGTTGAACGTGTTGTTGAATTACTTTCTGAAACAATGTTTCGTCCAAAATTTTCACCCGAAGAAGTAGTTGATATTTTTCTTTTTTCTTTTTTGTATGTTATAGTTCCATTTATTTATAGATTGAATCTGCACAAGCAGCCGTTATCAATGAGATAGACGATTTAAAAAATCGACGATATGATCCAACTCCAATTTTAACTGATTTGATACATGCAGTAAATGAGTTTCTTTTTCTAAATTATAAACCAATATGTATATATATATTTTGTTTATATTAGGCTGGTTATGGAAATAAAAGTCTAGGTTTACCAAAATATACACCATTAGACAATATTCCTCGAATAGATGCATCAATGTTAAGATCATTTACGAAAGAATTTTATCAACCAGAACGAATGGTACTTGCTGGTGTTGGAATTGATCATCAACAACTTATTGATTTTGGAAAAAAATATTTTTCGATACCAAAAAATGATGATAAAAGTAGTGATAAAAAAACAATTGAAGATAACAAAGCTATATGGACTGGTGGAATAGTTATGGTAAAGAGACTTTTAATATAGGAGAACAGTTTTTTCATTTTTATATCTATTGCAATGATTGAAAAACTAGAACACATATTTCTTCTATGCGGAAATTCCGTATCTACGACAATTAGTTGCAATAATGATAAATAAAATTGGTAAAACAAATTTCTTGGCATTATGGAAAAATAATTAACGAAAGAAATTCCACCAATTGATGAATCGCTTGTGTATAAGGGTAGAAATTAATGAAAATAGTTTATTATGGAAGTTTCGCGTCTTTTGATTTGCTTCTGTCCTGAAATAAAAACATAAAATCTGCCAGTTTATGTGAGTGATGTAAAAGCACGTTTTTACCGTAGCTGTATCTTAATTTAGGAACAACAGCAAAAACTGAAGTATTTACAAGAAACTATTCTTATCATGGACTGTCTTTATGCAAAATTTCAAATTGTAATGAGAAACCCAGTTTTCCTGAGGAAGAAGCACCGCATCCATTTAAATATTACTATAGAAGTACAATATCTCGACAATCATTAACTAAGGGCGTGAACTTTTCTCAGAGTATTCAAAACCCATCTGGTTCTACATAATGCATGTAGTCTGAAATAGAGTTATTGGACCCAAGGTTTTCAGATCTGCACTAACCCGACGGGCTGTAGTCTTAATTCAAAAGTAATTTATCAGTTGGGAATCTTCTGTCATCAGAGAAGCCCCGAAAACAACTAACAACCTATTCAAGGATAAGAAACATTATATATGAGTATAAATACGAATGTTTAATAAAGTTTTCTAATTGAGCGTGAAACCTTACTAGAGAGTAAATAGTAGCTGCTTTAAAAAGTTCTCATAATCATATATAATTTCGGCTTATTTTGGAGTTTCGGTCTGTTGTGGTTTTTGTTAGTCGACCATGAGCGCCATATTGTATGTGATGGAATCACATATCTGAAAATTGATGTTTATGGGAAATGAAATAGGAATCATGCTTCTGTTAAGCATGCGACTAATTATCGTAACGCCCATTTATCGCTTTTCCATGAATTCTATGTTGAAATAGATCTGAGGTATTTTGATATAATCTACCTTGATTCTAGTAATCATTGAACAAACTTTTTGTAAGATTTTAGTTTATTGCTTTCGTCTCGGGAATAGAGATGTGCGGGTCTAAGTTACTTTTTTTTTATAGTCCCGGTCTAGAGAAAATTATTCAAAAATTTATTCGTATCACATCTAAAAAGTTTTTCAATACTTATTTTTATATAATTATTTAATCGACAACTAGCACTATTTAAGGTTATCTTTCTTGTATCATATGCTGATTTTGATAATTCGTTTCAAACCTTCAGGTCCGGTTGGAACAATTTTTTTTCTCGTAGTCCTGGGATCGGAACTAAAGTTGATCTTGTACAATCTATACTCTGGAAATAATATTAGTTCATTATCTTAATAAAAAAAATAGATGTTATAGTTTCTTGACAATTTCAACTAAATATTTAATAATTTTTGTCTTTAATAGGAAGAACGTGATCTTAGTCATTTATCATTTGGTGCTGATCCATTACCAGAAAATGTTCATGTAGCACTTGGTTTTGAAGGTAAATATTTATACAATATACTTTTCTTACTTATCATTTCTTTCAACAGCTCCATCACATAAAGAAGAACATGAATTTGTTTCGGCTTGTGTATTAAGTCAATTATTAGGTGGTGGTGGTTCATTTAGTGCTGGTGGTCCAGGTAAAGGACTTTATTCACGTTTTTATTTGAATGTTCTCAACAGGTAATTTTCTATCGAAATAAATAAACACAAAAAAAAAAAGAAACTTTCATATTTATTCGATCTAGACATGAACAAATCAAAACAGCTATATCATATAATCAAGCATATTCTGATTCTGGATGTTTATATTTTCATCTTGGTGGTGAACCATCATATCTTCGTAGTATGATTGATGTTGCTATACGTGAAATTGGTTTTCTTGTTTCTGAACGACCCGGATCTGTGGAACTTGAACGTGCTAAAAAACAATTACAATCAATGCTTTTTATGAATTTAGAACAACGTCCTGTTGTTTTTGAAGATATTGCACGACAAGTTCTTTCCGTTGGAAAACGTCAACAAGCTGATTATTATTTTAATCGTATAGAACGTATTCAAGCTGATGATATATATGAAATAGCACGACGAATATTTAGTAAACCACTTGCAATAGCTGGTCTTGGTAAAAATTTAAATGAAATGCGTTCATATGCTCAAATATCGGATACAGTACAAAGACAATTATCACCTAAAACACGATGGCGTATTTTTGGTTAAATATGAATGTTTTTTTTGTTCTAGGCAAATTTATTGATTCATTTTTCTTGTCTCTTTTTTTGTTTTCATTTATTCAATAACAATGAGAAAAGAAAACGAATATATTAGAGAACTTCTTTTGTTCAAGATGCCCTATTTATCTGATCGTCAATATGGTCTTCTTTCTCATCAACGTTTATTAGTTAAATTAAAAAATTCTTCTTCAATAACACGACGACTTACATTAGGTCGAACGTTAAATGTTCATCGAGGTTGTGTAAATACAATATGTTGGAATGAACATGGTACAACAATATTATCAGGTTCTGATGATCAACATTTAATTGTAACAGATCCTTATACAACAAAAATTTTAACAAGTGTACATAGTGGTCATAGAGAAAATGTATTTTCAGCAAAATTTTTACCTGAAACAAATGATCGTCGAGTTGTTTCATGTTCAGGTGATGGAGTTATATTTCATACAAATTTCGATCGACCAAATAATTCACATAGTAATGATGGATGTTTTACTTGTCATGGTGCAGCAACAGCATATGAAGTAAGAATTATTCCACATACGCCAAATTTATTTTTTTCATGTTCTGGTAAATATTTTAAATGAATATATATTTATATTTTTATTATTTTTAAATTATAAATTTAGATGATTGTACAGTACGATTATATGATTTGAGAACAAAAAGTAATTGTTTAAAAGCTCATTGCAATGATGATATTATTATAAGAAGTAAATGGGGTATTACATCTATTGATATTAATCCAATGAATCCAAATGAAATTGTTTGTGCTTGTTCGGATTCAGTAAGTTTTATATCGTCTTAGTTAGACGAGAAATTATTACAAAATAGCTTTAGTTTAAAAAAACATAGCTTCTTTGCTTATATTTGCTTATAAGTAGAGAAGATCTAACTTAGTACAATCTCCAAATGATTTTTCTTTTTATTTTCGCTGAGATATGAATGATTGAAAACGTAGGATTTTTCTGTTTTGTTAATCTTGTGTACGTGAGTTCGGTTTTGTTGATAGCAATAACTTTATACAGGTAGAAGAAGAAAATACAGAGAACGAGAAAGTACGGGAACTAGAAAACTTCCGAGAAGAGAAGATACGTGTGTATGTATAGAGTAACAAGACAAAGGGAAAGTCACTGACATATACGACAGGAAAGGACAAATCCATATATTCATTGGATTAACACGTACAAGAGAATATGAAAAAAACAACGAACGATATCCTATATTTAGTAGAGAAAAAGACAATATGTAATGTGGACACACGTATTGGACAAATCCTGAACAAAATACAAATCATTCAGAGATTGTATCAGTTTAGATGTTCTCTAATTAGGCACTACATAAACTCCTCCTCGCAATAGAAGACTCCAAGTCTTCTCTGATGTCTCGTTTATTTTCATAGCTTTTCAATAAAAGAGTTCTTCAAAAATTTAACACAATTTCGAGGGTTTGGCATGAAATTTTTAGAGTATTAAAAGCCTAGGAATAAGGCTAATCTTAGCTTTTAAAGATTTTTCAGCTTAAATCCTTGAAAATTAGACATATTCTCATGTAAATATACTAATTAAAGTTTCAATGTTACAAGAAATAAATTAATTAAGAGAAATCTTCTATTACCGGTAGAGATTACTAAGCTCAGAAACTTGAAATCATTGATGAGGCTTTCAATAGACATTTGCAGAAAATCCTCCCAATCTCTGCCATTTCAGACTAAAGTCAACAAACTTTTTCCATTATAGCTATTTTCTAATCATTTCTCATATAAGGAACATAACAAAAACCAATAAAAAAAAGTTTTTTTTAAAAATAATGGTTCAATATCCATGAATATACTCAATAAAAATCAGAACAAGCAATCAAGAAATTATAAAAAGAAGAAGAATGTCTACTATTTAAATAGTCAATATTTTATTATCTTATATTTTCAAACTAAAATTATCAATTTGAATGAGACAATTTAATTCTCTAGAATAGAAGGCTATGAGCTTTCCAAAATCTATTTTTCGGAAAACATTTTTTTCTGGTGAAAACTTAATTTTCTAGCACCTAGTTTCTCATTACACCTATTAGAATATTAGACAAGTTTTTCAAAAACTCTTGATTTTCTAAATAAACCGTAGCAAAAAAACAAGTCCGCAATAGAAGATCATGGCTTTTTATACTCGGGGATTAAATGAAATCGTAGATTTATATCTTTTATTTGAATGATTTCATTTTAATTTTTCTAGTCAGTTCGTCTTTATGATCATCGAAAACTTTCTACTCAATTATCATCAGATACAGCTACATCACGTCGATGTGAAGCTTCAATAAATGGTCTTATATCTCGTTTTGTATTAATGGATCGTAAAGAAAAACGTCCACCACGTATAACATCTGTTGTATTTAATCAACATGGTACAGAAATTTTAGCATCATATTCATCTGAATCTCTCTATTTACTTGATCCAAAACGATCGATAACACAAGAACAAAGCCAAGAACGTCTTACACAACATCGTAATGAAAAACGAACAAGAACAAATATAAATGATAATAAAAAATCAACATCAGAGGAATCGTTAACAACAGAAGAAAAAAAAACATCTCATTTTAAACGATTACGTCTTCGGGGTGATTGGAGCGATACAGGTAAATTTTATATTATTCGATTAAGTTTTTCTTTATTTTTTTTTCACTAAAAGGCCCCGATTCTCGTCCCATGAATGAACAAGAATCTGAATCATCACCATCAACTACTACTACTACTACTGCTACTGCTACTGCTACTACTACTACTACTACTACTACTGCTAATAATAATAATAATAATACTGAACAAGAACAACAACCATCAGATAATACTAATCCAAGTGAACAACAACCAACATCTCGAAGTCGTAATTTACAAAATATTTTTATGCAACGTATGAGTGATATTTTAACACAATTAGTTGCTCCTAGTGAAACAGACAATGAACAAAGAGAATCAACAGTAACTACCAATGATAATGATGATAATAATGAAAATAATGCAACACCGCTTGTTACTGAAGCAAATACACAAAGTGAATCTACGTCAACAACAGCAACAACTGTTCCCATTGTGCAATTACCTCCATCACCTACATCTAATGAAAGTTCAGCAAGTACAACAACAAGTAATAATGAATCAGAGAACAGTCGAGATGTCAGTATTATTTAATTAAAGTATTTATTTTAAGTTTTAATTTGTTTACTTTTTAGCGAGTTGGATTCTTTGATATTTTATTTGGAAGAAATCGTCGAACGAATAATCCAGAAGATGACGATGCTGACAATGATGATGATGATGATGATGATGACGATGATGAAAACAGTATGGATGACGAAGATGGACATGTAAGATTTTGAAAGTTTTTTTTTTTTGAATATATATGATTGTTCCTGTGTTCTCTTTTTGTGTGATTTAGGAAGATGATGAAAATTCTCAACCATCATCATCAACAACAGCAACAGATAATGCTCCATCATCTGGACGTGCTCGCCGCCCATTAATGGCTTCAAAATGGGATCGTATAATGAAACGTCGTGAAGCTGAACGTCGTCATGAAGAAAACCTTTTAAAAAGTGTTCCTAGTTTAGGTTTAATTAATTCTTATGATGGTCATCGTAATGCTCGTACAATGATAAAAGAAGCAAATTTTTGGTCCGATTCATACGTTATGTCTGGTTCAGATTGCGGGTAAAGATTTTCATATGAAAAGAAAAAAATCAATTTTTATTTTAGACATATATTTATTTGGGATAAATTTACAAGTCATCTTGTACGAATAATACCAGCTGATGAACATGTTGTTAATTGTGTACAACCACACCCACTTGATTATCCGATATTAGCATCCAGTGGAATTGATTAGTAAGATCTGTTTCTTTTTTGTGAAACTTCCATTATGTTTTTTGAGGAAAAATATAATGAGTGTAAGTCGAAGTTTTGCGGTTCTCTCTCCGTGTTACAGTAACAGGATTCAGAAGCTAATAAGTATATTTTCCAAAACAGCAAGCGAGAAGAAAAGCCCATGGCCTTTGGATATGTTTCCACAGTAATGGAAGACAATGGGCGCCAAACTCCTTTCCCAGAGTTCTGCTCTAGAACATAATTAAAATTTCCTAAAAAATTGAATCATTTGTGAATGTTCTAAATGTTGAGCTTTTGGTTTTCGCATAGACAAAAAATGTATGTCTAAGATGTCAAGAATGATAGGTAGTAATGCATTGATTTATTAGTCTTCATATGATCAACATTAAAAGAGTGAACTGATTACATTATAAGTTTGGTAAATAATCGATATCAGTTTTTCTAAACTTATCGAGATACATAATAAAGCATTGAGACCTGCTGTAGATATAATGGATATGTAGAACACGCCTCTTTACCAGTGAAGTCAATGGTTAGAATCAAAATAATATTAAAAACTAAGTAAAACGGAATACAAACATAAAAGATAACGAGTTAATCGCAACACTGCAAACTAAAAAAAAAAAGTTTCACTAAAAAAGCGAAAAGTTTTGTTCGAAATGCAGAAATAAATGAAACACATATTCTTGAAAAACAACATTAGTCTGCTGGAGATTTTTCACGTGACATATTTTATATTAGTATAGTGAGGCTAAAAAACGCTTGTCAGTTTCACATTTTAACTCTAAAGAAGCTGCACTGACAGGTTTTAAAAAAAAAAATTTGTAATGATGAATTATCTTTTCTTTTAGTAATATAAAATTATTTTCACCATTGGCTGAAACACCAATTGACGATAGTGAACTTATTACACGTACAATAAAACGTAATCATGCAATGATGGAAGAAACATCGAGTACAATAACTGTACCAGCTACTTTTATGTTTCGCATGTTAACATCATTTTATCGATTACGACGTCCCGAAGGATTATTTGGATTAGATGATGAGGACGAATCAACCGAGTGACATTTACCTGTTTTTTTCAGTTTTTTTCTTTTCGTATACATTTTTTTTTGCTTTTTTGTGTGAATATTTTCTTATTTAAGCAGCATAAGCACAAAGAATAATAGAGCTAAGACATGAAAATTTACATGAATTTTGCAATACTTTATAGAAAATCGATTGGACATGCCAACTTTAGATTATCTGCTGATTTTCGGAAGTGCTCATGAATTTTAAAATATATGAAAAATGAGATTCAATGATTTTCATCTGTATGACAAAGCTTGTAGTATTTATCTAAAATCGTATTGACAGGTTCATTATGATATACAGTGGAGTGCAAAAAAAATTGCCGTTGCACTTACGCATTTTCTCGAGTCATATCTGTGAAGCGCATGAACGGATTCTTCTGAAACTTTTATCAGTAATCAAGGATGTACTATAGATTTTAATCAGAGCGCGACTCCTCAAAAAATGTCGTTCGGTAGAGCGAGAGACATCATGATTCGAGTGTCCACCGCTTTTCTAGAATATCAAACAGTAATANGTAAGATATCAGACAGATGCTTCGCTCCAGGATTTCCGATTTCACTGAGGTTCGAATTCAATGTGGTAAGTGTCTATGCGAAAACGTATAGATGCAGACATAACAGAATTGAAATAAAAATAAGGATTTTGTGTTATGTCGCAATGCTCTAGCCAGATGTTCTGCTCCTTGGTCTCCAACATGATTATAGTCGAGATCTATTTATTCGCGTTGAGCGTTAAATCAAGATCGACACTAAGAGGCTAATATGAGCGTACCATTGAACGAATAAAGTACTTAGATTCAAGTATAATAATGTTATGGACTAGTTGTAATAGTAATAGACGTTAAGAATGAGTGTAATGAACTTTTTGAGAATGTCACAATATTTATTTACTACGATAAATAAGATTACATAAAATGTGTTCCTTTAATTTTCAAGTGTTAGTAAACCCCCAGACTAAAACATAATTGGCTTTTTTATATTTTTGAATTTCTTATTTGATAAGCCAATTGATTAGGAACAACATATAGAATCTTTCCTGCTATGATATACATAATCAACATAAAAAAAAGAATACAAATTAATAGAGAAAAAAAGAGTTGGTATAATATTATTTTCGTTAATTGTATTGAAAATAATGATATACGACTTTTTCCTTCAAAGCATAAGAGAGAGAGCGCGAGAAATGTTTCTGTAATTGTTGCTGTTTATTTAAAATAACTTTTTTTTCTATAGTTGTGTGATTGCAGTACTTGATTTCTAATTTATTTGAACGAAATAAAGAATTAATGAAGTAGAACTACTAATAAGCTAAAATATTTTACTTACATTGATGATAAAATACTTATAAGATTATAATATAACTTAATATTTACTAATTAATTGTTTCTTAGATAGGAGAGATTCAGAATGATATTTAAGAAAAAAAATTACATCTCTCTTGAATCAGAAGTAACTAACATTGTATAGCAAAAGCAATGAAACGTTTATATCTCACAAACCATCCATAAACTTGACAAAATGTTTTCCTCTTTTTAAAGCACTTTCCATCACATTAGAGCCTTCGTTTTAGGTCCATTCGATGAAGAACTTTCTCCTCTAAAAAACCGTTACCTTTATTTTGCAACTAACTCTTTTTTTCTCGCCGCAAAATTCGAAAGATGAACACCTCCTCATTCGTCTAACTACAATGGTCAAAGAAAAAAACGTAAAAATGACGCAAAAATTTTCATAAAATTTTCGCTGAAATTTCAAATATGTCACAAATTTTTTCACAAGATCTTATATCTTTTGATATATGTTTTAAAATTTAAGAATAAATATATTTAAGAAAAATCTTTCAAGTAAAAGATATGAAAAAAACCGTCAAAAACCTTTTTTTGGCAGAATAAAATCATTTTTGCTTATTAATGCGACATAACGTAATGTTTCAACTCTTCAATTTAACAATCATACAATTTTATTCAGAATTATTTTGTAGAGTAAGAAATTCTGTATTGAAGGTGTCCAACACAAAGTCCTTAATATATTGAAAAATATCCTAAATACAAGACAAAATTATGCACTCTCAGCTATTCTGATGGCACAAAGATACTCAAACAAGTTAATTTAAATAAAAACAATTTCAATAACTTATCCTATAAATAAACATGATAACTTCGATATGATACATATATATCATTTTCGAATAATCAAAGCTTTTGATTATGAAAATAATTGATTATTTTATAACTGAAAAACATTTATTATTACATAAGACATTTTTTTTTTTGAAATTTTGAATTAAAAATAAAAGTACAAAGAAGAACTATATTTGTATTCAACGATATCATCAATGACCAATGGTCAATTGATTTATACAAAATTCATTGCTTTTTTTTCTTCTTGTTTTACAATGAATTTGATTTCTTTCAAATAGACGAACTATTCTTTTCTCGATTCTCATACTGTCTAAAGTTGGACCCTGGATTATTTTTATTTTTCTTTCTTTTCTCTTGCGTAAATCAAAACAAATGACCAACAAGTTTATTTATCGGCAACGATTATTTACTGCCGATTATGTTAAATCAACAATCATTAACAACAAAATCTTGTAATCATAATGAAGTAACACCAACAAAAATATCACATGATTATGTTTTTACTCGATGGATGGGCTCATGGGAACGTCGTTTATCATTATGGTCAAATCAATTATATTCTGATGCATTACTTGCTTATATTGGTAAAATTTACGGACAACAAGCCAATATTTATCATTATTTTAATAGATTATGGAATGAAAGTTTATATAATACAATAGATGAACTTGATTTACTTAATATATTAGTTGAAAGATTATCAAAAATACCTGGTAAAAATATTTAAATTCATTTTTTGTTTTCTTTATTTTATTGAATAGGTGCAAAAACATCATTACGTAAACGACAAGAAACATCAAGAATTGATAGTCGTTTTAATGAATTAAAATCAATATTTGATAAAAATTATAATATAAAATTTAAAATTTCAACAAAATTTAATCTTAATGAATTAATTAATAAAGAATCAATTAAAAGTTATTTTGATTTAGGTTGTGGAAATGGTTTAATAACAGCTCGTATTGGAAATTATTTTAATATAAATAAAGAATATATTTTTGGTGGTGATGTTTTTAATAGTAATAATCAACAAATAACATACGTATCAATTGATCAAAATCAATCAACTATTCATCTTAGTAAAAAAGAATCTTTTCTTTTTTATACTAATTATTTACAAAAAAAAAAAATGTTTTTTTTTTTTTTAAGATGATCAATCTGTTAATTTAATAACATGTCTTGTTACACTTCATCATATAGAAAATATTGATAATATACTTAAAGAACTTGCACGTATTATACAACCAAATGGTTATCTTATAATACGTGAACATGATTGTAAATTAGAACGTTCAGTATTAACAAAATATTTACATTTTATTCATGCTATTATGATTATAGGACGTATAGGAGAATTTAGTAATGATTATTTAATAAATAAAAATGAAAAATTAACATGGACAGAACAAAAAAAGAAAATTATTAAATATACAAAATCAATTCAATATAAAACACGTCAAGAATGGCAAAATAAATTAGAATTAGTTGGATTCGATTTAATAGCTATATTTGATTATGATTTAAATAAAACAACAAATCCTCAACGATTATTCTATGGATTGTATAAACGTAATGATAAGATAAATTAACCAGTGATAAAGAAAACGGTGAATTAAAAACAGTTATTGTTTTTTTCTTTTTTTGATTTTTAGCTTTTGTTTTGTTTTTTGTTTATTCGTTTGTGATATTCGATGAAATAAAGCGAAAAGTTTTAGTAGCATTCGATAATATTTATGACTTTTGAAATAATATTAATACAGACTAGTGACCTACATGAATACAAGTTTTCGCAAACGGACTCGGATAACTTTACTTGGTATGAAAATATATTATCTAGTTTCTTCCATAAATAGCAATAAAAACAAGAGATAATCTCAAATTCTACAAAAAAAGCAAGTAATTTAAGATTTACTTGGTGCCTTTCTGCTTTTTAAATCCGATCAATTTCACTAAGTATATGTTTGGTTGTTGCTAATGATGTTAGAAGGAAATGTAGTATTAATCCCAAAAGTCATAATTACGGATATGTACTTGAATACTTTTGCCATTACAATGATACATATTCACCTTTTTAATAATTCATTTTCCTTCACATATATTCAGTTACTTTGCCATATGGTTTATTATTAGCATTTGTAGATAGATTTTCATTAAAAATTCGATGTTTTTTATATAAATAACAGTCTGAAAAAGTAAAAATATTTTGAAGCATCGAAATCTCATTAATGGCCGAACCGAGCCCAATTGAGTGTTTTTATAATCTGGAATTGAAACGAACAAGGATTATAGAACAACAAATCTTTTGTTATCATTTAGTTCAAATCAATGAAAAGAAATCCGCTCGTAGATTGGAGCGCGGCACTCTCATAAGAATGCGATTTATCGAGGAAAATCGGGAAAATTAAAGAAAGTTTGTATGCCCTAAGGTTTTGATATAATATCAATACAAAGATGATTATTGATCTCATACTTTTATTAATCGAGAAAATTGATCAAGACTTTCCTGTTTATTCCAGGAAAGATCCGGTAGATTCTGCTTACTTGATTCAAACTCTTTCATATTCGAAAGATTAACTTATTCATTAAGATATGTGAAGCATTCTACATGTACCTTGTTTTGAGAAGATATGTGTTGAAATTTATTATGATACATAGAAAGAGTAAACTTCAGATATTTAGACTGTAATTCAGCTTTACTCACTCTCGTGTTATAGACTGATATTAGTTTTCTTCCGTGTAGAATCGAGTATAAGTTCATTTATCTGGCTACTAAAAAGCTTTTAGCATCATATATTTTTGCTCAAAATTAATAACCTGGAGATCGAAATAAGTATAAGAAGATATGGATTCATAA